CTTTAATTATTATGTTTATTTGCAAAGTTGTTGTGATCTGGTTTCTATAAATCAGAGTTTTTAAAGCTGATTGAAGTTGCTTGATTTGCACCACCCAGGTCCGCATCTTTGGTTCCAAGAAAAGTTAAAGTTGGTAGCCCTGTTTCCCAGAGAAAAATCAAAAGAATATGTACATAATTTTCTGAATATGCATAGACAATTTCATTATAATTTACTGTTTTAAATTGATTCTAATTTTATTTTTTATAACATGAATATCTAAATCTTTTACTTGAGTAATTTATTATTTCTTCTTCAAGGGAGATGTCAGTCTAAGGATCAATCTTCAGCTTCTATGAAATCATAATATGTCCAAGAAGAGAAAAAGAAAAAGTAATTGTGTTGGAAATTGCAATCTAACTCTGCGGTGGGTGTTGCAAAGGGCTGAGACAGTAAGGGGGAAGACAAGATTCTTAGGCTGGCAAACAGAGGCAATTAATATTAAAGAAAGATGCTCTTTGCATAGGGAACAAGTTAGAGCTTTCGAACACCTTGCAGATATGGAGACCATAACAGAGTCAAATTAGATTAAGGAAGTTGGGTGTCAGTCTACTGTCTCTGCATTATAAGAATGCCAATGTTAGATGATTATCAAAATAAGTGTTCGCTGTAGATACCGCGCCAGCTTGTACAGCGGTGATTATCAAACAAAGTGAGATTACATGTTGGTCAGTTGCACGTGCACACAAGGTAAGAACTGGGGATTCTGTTTTCCAATTCATTGGTTTCATTTTTTTTTTTTTTGTATTGATTTTTTGGAAAAATGAAATCTTGCATTCCTGTCTTCATCACCCGAAAAATTAAAAAAAGAAAAGAAAAGAAAAGAAAATGTCTCATTCATCAGTTTCGGATTTAAATGGGCCTTTCTTTTTTTTTGGTATACCGGAAACAAACTAATTAAAACAGACTAAGCTCTGGGAAACATAGCTCCCACTCTATCTCCAAAAAGAATCTGCTGCAAACCAACAGAAGGGGATCCAAAAAGGTGACACCATTGCAAGCCGCATGACCCAAAGAAGCTAAGAAATCAGCTGCTGCGTTTCCTTCACGAAGTGTGTGGCGAAGGACAAAGGAAGAAAATCTACTAGAGATGGTTTTGATGTCCATAACAAGAGCAGCTCCCTGCCCTCTCCAATTGCCATTATCCAAAATCAACTGTACTGCCACTGAAGAGTCCATTTCAGCTGTCAATCGAGAAATGCCCAATGAGAGGCAAAGCTTGAGGCCTTCTCGCAAGCCCCATAATTCGGCAACTAAACTTGTGGCCCTACCAATATTCACCAGGAAACCATGAAGCCAATTCTTAAATGGGCCTTTCTAACCCTATTAAAAGTCAGACTAACCAAAAATGTACCGTGCAAAGTACAATTCTACCACGAAATCACTGGTGCTAGCTGCTGATTTTAAATGGAAAAAAAAAAAATATATATATATATATATAAAATTTGAAAATCACAAATATATCCCAAAATGAGATCTTGCATTCCTGATTTCTTCAACTAGGAAATAAAACTAGCATTTCTCCATGTGACTGCAGTGGTGATCACATTTCTCTAAAATGAGAAACAAGTGGAACGAACTCTAAGTTCGTAGGTCGAGTCCCAAATTCGATTTTTTTTAAACAGATACTAATCTAACATTGTGATTTCTTCTTAAAAAAAAAAAAACTAGGAAATAAAAATAAGAAAAGAAGATATTTCATTTATCAGTTTGTGTTTATCTGTGTTTTAGGTTTCAATAGGCAATGGCCCTTTCCAGAGCCGGCTGGCCCTCTGCAGACTTTCTCGGCCCACTAGCCCTATGCAGAAGGCAAAAAATAAAGAACCAATGCACCAGCCGGGAATCGAACCCGGGTCTGTACCGTGGCAGGGTACTATTCTACCACTAGACCACTGGTGCCCCTTGTTTGATAGAACTGAAAAACTATATTAAATTCCCAAAATTGTGCAAATCACAGATATTTTCCAGAATGAGATCATGCATTCCGGGCCTTCATCATTTGGGAAGTAAAAATAAAATGAATGAAAAAATAAAGAAAGTGTTTCATTCATGATTCATCAATTTATCTGTTTTGGGTTTCAATGGGCCTCTCTAGAGGCCACTAGTAGCACCATCCAGAAGGCAGGGAAAAAAAAATAACGGGCCTTTCCAGATCCTCGACCCAACAGCCCTGTTCAGACAAAAAAATATGAACATGCACCAGCCGGGAATCGAACCCGGGTCTGTACCGTGGCAGGGTACTATTCTACCACTAGACCACTGGTGCCTCGCGTTTATGTCTCTCCAGACATTCTGTTAAATATAAAATTTTACAAACCACAGATATTTTGCAAAAACTAGCAACACCTGGAAACTACCACTAGTTCCAGCATCGACCTTCTTCTTCTCGCATTTTACCCAAAATCCAATTTCTGCAAAGTTTCTCTGTATTCAGTGTCCTTAATCCACAAAATGCCCATCTCAATTCCGATTCCATGCCAACACCTTTCCTTCTCAAAGTCACTGCAATCATCTCCAACTCCTCTTTTTCTGCAATCAAAACTTTCCCGACTATCCCTCTACACCCCACCTTCCAAGACCATTATTCGCATGGGAGGCGGACCTAGGACCTACCCAGGTGGGGTTTCCAAGTGGCAATGGAAACGGATGCAAGCCAAGAAGGCTAAGCAGCTTCTCAAGGCCCGACTTGCCCGGGAGCGCCAAATCTACGAGATGCGCAAGCGGGCCGAACTCAAGGCTTCAGTCTCGGAGCTTGAGCGTCCCTGGGAGGTTGTTGAAAAAGCACCCAATCTCTTCTCTGTCAGCGCTGACGAGCAACTTAAGGTCTTGGCTGACAGGTTTCAGAAACCTGGTGGGTTCGACATGTGGAGTGAGAGAGACGGGCCGCAGTTGTTTGAAGCGGTTGATGGGTTGCCTTCTGCGAGGTTTTTTCCTAAAGGGGTTGTGCATAGTGTCAAACCGTACTTGAGAAAGGAGGACGAGGATGGGAGTGAGAATGTGGGAGAGGAGTCTGAGAGTCAGGATGGGACGAGTTCGGAGAGTTTGATGCCTGAGAATTCTGCAAGAACTTCCAAAGTGGACAGGAGGACTGGGAAAAAGAATGGTGTCAATTGGAGGAGGAAAGGATATAGGAAAAGGTTAGATTCTGCGCAGGTTGGTTTTGATAGGAAGAAAAGAGAGCAGAGTTCCATGATTCGTGGAGGCAGTGATAGAATTAGTAGGAGTAATTCGCAGTCCAGTGTTTATGATATGAGTTTACCGCAAGATGGAACTTATAGGTTTGGTGAGAGAAGTGACTGAAACATGTCATCTCTGCTATGGTAGCCAGATGGTTGGTTCAGAATATTGACATGGCGACCATGTAATAGCAAACGAAGACTGATTCTCAAAATTGGCGAGATTGGGGGGAAATATGCAGAGTTTTGGTAATGTTCTCTGGCAAATTTTCTTATATTTTGGTAATATTGTTTTAAGTTTGCCATTGGTGAAATTGAGATCATTATGAGCAACATGGATGTGTTGTATATTGGATATTCTGTTACATGCTCAATATTGTATATTGAATGGAAATACTATGCCATTGACTGATAACCGCTGTTATCTGTAGCAATCCTCTGTATGCCAAGCATGGTTACTAACTTCATTAGGTTTGGCTAAAATTAGCAGGACCTAAAGATGTTAGTAAATATGCTCATGGTTTGCACATTGAGGATAAACAGAAGTTGCTCGCTTTTGATTGAGAAATCAGGTGAATGGACCTAAAGTGCAAATGGAACATACATATTTGCATTGTGAATTGTGCAGGATTGACAGGCGAATTCCTCTTTTTCGCATATTTCACATCATTTTAATAATTTAACAACATTGATGAGCTACCATTACACTGTTCAATAAAGCAATGTGATTGAACTTTCGGGCAGTCCAAGCTCATATATAATCTGCAGAGTTTTTAATGGAGTTTTCAATGTATTGAACTTTGGTTTAACTGAGTGGGATTGAAGGATTGTTGTCTCTCATGTCTCCATTTTGTCAATTTTTGAGGATTAAATGACAAATATTCTGAGATCTCTCCTATATTCTTATTGAAGTCTAATTGTTCTTTGTTCTGGTTAATCTATAATAGAGACTAGTGAGGTCTGGTTTGGAATAAAAATTTAAGGTCTTCAATACATAAGTTTTTTTCGTAGTATTACCAGCAGTGGTATCATAAACTGCAAGGAAAAGGTTAGGATGATTATATCTATTTCCATACTTCCTACTAAAACAACATTAGATGTATATTATAAAATTTCTTTGTCATGTACCGTGCATGTACCCGGTATAGATGTATGACACAGTTTTAGACAGTCTAGGTTCTTCTATTGTAGAATTTACCAATAATTGTTGCATGATTGGTACTTGATATTATAGAGGAGAAAAATACTGTAGATTGGAATGTATTATGCGTAGTGGTGTAGGATATGACCTCTGCTATTTGTGCACTGCACTCGTACAGCTTTGTTAAAATGGTTGCTGACGTTCTGTGAATAATTGATGCTTTTTTGCATCTTCACCTTTTCTCCTCTTTCCTTTATTTCTTCTTTTGTTTGTGGGGGAGGTTGCATGTGGATTTGAATTGAACCAACTTTTTTGTTGGCATGGTAGCATGGAATTACTGAAGTTTGCACCACAAAAACATGCTGATCAGTGATTGGTAAGGAAGCCAATATCCTCCGCCAAATAGGTGATTGTTTTCCTTGAAAATCTATGTTTTAAACTTTATTGTCCTGTGAGGGCCAAAAAAAAAAAACTTTAGTGTCCTCAATAAGAAGACATCTGTCTAAACTGAAGCCATCTGAAGATACTCCCAGTAGAAGTTACAAAAGTGGATCTGTAGTACATATTGAGGTTTTTCACCTCCCTTTTTGGGTCTGTATAACAAAAGTAAAAAAATCTATCAGGCAGTAGTGGTAGCCATTTCTTTGGGTCTGCATGAATCAGCTTATTTTGGGTTATACTATGCTATTTTATTTCTGAAAACATTTCCTTGCTCACACTGCTTTTGGAAGCCAACAGAGTGAATTGATTCCTGTATATCATCTGGACAAGCCATCCAAAGAGGCAGCATTTATAAGAAACACTTGTTTCCATTTCAGATGAAGTTGAAGGTGCTTCTGCTTTCCAACTGGAAGTTGATTCTGTAATGCTATATCACGCAAATTATTACGACCATCCTAATTGACCTGATACTTTATTTTTTAGGTTCAGTTGCAATTATATGATTCCAGCACCTTGAAAGGATGGACAAGAAAAAGAGAACCAGAAATTTCAGAAGAATTTGTGGTGCCTGCTTGACCATACAACATGCTTTGTATGCATTTGCATGATAAATGTTAGTGAAATGGTTTCATTTAGATGCTTTCTTTTATCTAAGCCGCTGTTTTTGACTTCACTTATAGATCTTTTCCCCACCATAGATGCACACACGCACCTGGATGCTGACACTGGACGGAGACATGAGTCTTCTTGAAGGGCACACTGTGGTACATACAAGTTGCTGAGAAAGGATTTGATTCTTAAAAGAAGCACTAGTCACTTTATAGACAAACTGCTAAAGTTTGATTTGGTCCAACAGACAAAAATATTCTGCCATCAAAATCATGAACCTACTTCTTGCTGCCCTTGGCTTCTATGCTCTGACCATGGTGATTGTCCTAATCCCGCAGCTCTAGCTGGCTATATTCCTACTTTAAGAGGTGTAGACTCTCTCTTATTTTCAGAATGATTGAGAATCACTCTCTCAACTCCATTTAGATCAGATTCTCTTTATCAGTCAGGTCAACTGATGAAGATAATCATGCTAGTGAGCTGCATTGTGAACACAGTCGATACTCATAAATTTTACCTCATACTTCTTTTGCTCCCAAGACACAAATGCGTTAGTGAGCTGTTGCACTTATTTCCTGCAACCCACTGAATCGACCTTGGTGGATATCATTCTATATTTTTTTAGCATTACAGCAACACGTGCCTTAAGAAATCTTAGGATGGAGAACTTTCAGGGTTGTCTTGTCACATTTGGCACTATTTCTAAACATATGAGCTTACTCTTCAACCTTTATCGGGCCAAAAATCAGATAGGTAAGGTACCGTGGAACTGCTTCAGTTGTTTAGCATGCTGCTGGGACTAGCATGTTTGCCGTGTTACCAGTGAAATCATTTTTCTTCTGACTGTATCTTGTTGTCTAATCATGTATTTGATTGACCATTGGTGTTAGTGTCTTCATAATATGGTGTTGAAAATGGAAAGGTGGACCACAAATTATTGCCACTCTAGATGATTGTATGATTTTCTAAGGATACATTATTTTGCTGAGTACAGTTTCTCCTTTAGCATGATTTTACAGTGTTATCCAGGGAGGTGGGTTCTGCGTGCCCATGCGGCCCTGCTGAAGTGCCAAAGGCCGGAACTTGTACAGCCATCATGGTTTTAATTGGTTGAAGATGATGGATTCTGCAATCTTTTCTGCTTAGGTGAAAATTGCCAAGCATATCTATATTTCCTTGCAGATTTGGATTCTCATGCATCCACTTCTATGTTGGAAATCTTTAACCGCAATCACATGGAAGCAAGGAGGAAATTAGATTATCCCACATGGGGATTAAGAGAATGACAACCGATTGACAGAGTTCCTAACTTGAAGCTGAAAGCTTTGAAACAAAAGAAATGGCATCAGCATGAAGGAGACATTTCAGTTGTCTGATATAAAAAGGTTGGAAGGCTAATCTGCTGAAGAGACCCGCAAAAGATAACCTAGTTCATGGACAGCACACTTTGGTTGAATCATGGAGCACTCTACGGGCATCTCCTGTTTTAATTTGTCGAATTTCATCCACCTCTTCTGCTAATTACTTCGTTAGTTCTAAAATAATTATATTTTCTAACTTTTTTTTTTTGTTTAAATTAAAGATTCGAGAATAATATTTATATTTATTGATAATACCTTTCAAAAAAAGATGAAAGATAAAAAGAGATTTTTTATGAGTGAATGATAAAGTGAATGGATAATAATAAGAAAAGAATAATTATCTACTTGGAAAACTAAAAATAGGATAATTAATTTAAAAGCAATTCAAAATGAAAAAATCATAATTATTTTAAGATAAAAATCTTCAAAAATTTCCGCCTTAATTTGTCAGACTAGTGAGTTTTGTTTAGATAAAAATCTTCGAGCCATGATTTAAATGTTGGGTGGTGATCAAAACAAGTCCTCTATTTTTTTTTAGGAATAATGGATTTACATTACAAGCTAGGGAAGAAAAAAGAGAACCTAAAATGTCAACCATGTACAAAAAGTTAATAATAATTTAGGATTAGTTTAATATGATTATAGTTTTGATTTAAAAATTTTTCAATTTAAATAATCAAAATTAATAATTAAAAATTAAAATTATCAACTTATTAAGTATAAAATTTTAAATCAAATACTAAAAACTCTAAATTTAATTAATTTATAGAATTAATTAATTTTATTCAAAGATTTCTAATATTTCAAAAACTAAAATCAAAAACTCAAAACTACTATTATACTAAATAAAGCTTTAATATATCATTTTAAAAGTAATTTGAATACTAATTTAATCATGTCATTTGAGTTAACAAAAAAGACTTTCACTTTATTATTTTATTTATGTATAAAAATTTTATTGACCAATTATATCCCACATCATTGTTCTGTGGTAGGTCCTTTTGCAAGTTTAAAGAACCATTATAAGTTTATGAAAAATGTGCTTCACATGCATGGAAAAAGGTGAAATGTGAAAAACAAAAACTTATGCGAGTTTTCTTCTTCAATATAGATGCGCACTGTGTTTGCTACAGCTGGAATGAATATGAATCATACATAGGTGGTAATAATGGCATGAAGTATGAACGCAGAATTACAAAATCGATGTTTAGCCACTTGGCCGATTTTAGTTCCAAAAATGGAATTTGTTGATGATAACAGATGGGGACTTGTTAACAAAGCTTACTCTTGAATTCTCGGGTTCAAGAATATAAGCTGGTGACCTTTGGAAAACTCAATTAATCAAAGAATAACTCTTTTATTCTTTTGAAAAAGCTCAATTCTTCTAGACTTGATGTTAAAAGATTTGATGAAAATAAAGGGTATAGATAAACGGAGATCCCCTGAAATTAGTATGTTAGTTCTCCTTAGGTTTAAAATAGTGATAAAAACATCGGTCTTCTTTTTTAATAAAAATAGTCAAATTAGCACTGGTTTTTTTTATTAACTAACAACTTATTAGTTTAAGGTGCATTTTTTTTTTTTAATTGGTGAGTTTCAAATCCGCCTCTAAACAATCTATTAAAAAAAAAAAATTAAATCATGATGATATTTGAGTAGATTACTGAGTACCCTTTTTAATAAAACAGTCAAATTAAATCATGATGACATTTCAGTAGATCAGTGAGGAATTGACGCGTGTGAGGATTTATAAAAAGATTTTTTTAATCCTGTTTTAAGAGTATAAGTTAAGTATAATTATTATATTTTTAATTAATTATTATTAAAACAAAAATTAATTTTTATTTAAATAATTATTTAATTAAAATAATTCACATGATATTAATGATAAAATTAATAATATTTTTTATTTTTTTAATAATATTTAATATAAAAAATAAAATAATTATATTTTTAATCTGTACTTAAAAAATTAAAATTAAACGAATCTTTTATAAAATAAATAAATAAAGGAAAAGTGGTTCTCCAATAAGGGAAAGCAATAAAAGCGAATTGAAAACATGTGGTAATTTATTGAATGGGAAAGTTTCCTTTTAATTTCATGATTAAGGAGAAGGACAATGCCCACCAATATGTGTGCCCTTAAAGCTTACCAAATTAACGCAAACCTTTTGTACTGTTAATCTTTATAAGAGGTTGCATCTCTTACTTTTCTTCTTCCATCTCGGGATGTTGAAATTTGAAAATGCATAATGGATGGAATGATAGAAGAAGAGAGTGCTCCAACCATAATACTAATTAAGCTTATGCATTTTATAAAATCTGCCGCTTAAGAGACCATATTACAAGCTTGTGTTGACTTCAATCCCCAAGTATGAGGATAATACGTATTAATTTTGATTCTTAAAAAAAATTAGAATCTTAACTTATATTTAGAAATTGAAATCTCAATTTAAAATTTAAAATTTTAATTAATTTTTAAATTCAAATATTAATTTTAATAAAATAAAATTTTAAATTTTAAATTAAATTTTATTTAAATAAAACGGCATAATTTAAGGTTAATATTTTATTTTTTTTAAAAAAAAATTGGGATTGATATGCATTTTTTCCCATATATATGTGAATAAAGATTCATTTATATATAAATTTTATATATTATATTTATATAAAATATCAATGATTTATTTTTTTATTTTTAATGATTGAGATATATTTACATTTATTAAAGATAATTTTTT